ACACATCAGATACACACATGTACACATCAGATACACACATGTACACATCAGATACACACATGTACACATCAGATACACACATGTACACACCACATACACACATGTACACATTAAGTACACACTTGGGAACACACGTACACACAACTTACACACATGTGCACATAAGGTACACCACATGTACACAAAATATACACACGAGCACACACTAGATACACGCCAGGCACACACATGTACACATTATCAACACAACAGTACATACATGAGCACACCCAACACAAACAATCATAATCAACTCATCAACAAAACTCAAAGACTTACCCAGCTTGTCTGCGAAAATAAATTTGTCCTCCAGATATTCGAAAATGCCGAAAACCGCCTCGGGGTCGGTCGAATGGGTGACCCTGTGGAGAAATGAAAGGTATGGGTTCAACGCTCATTTTTCACACGCTGAAGGGATGAATAAATATCAGGGATGCCAAATTATTTTTGAAAAAAATCCTGAAAATGAGCCGAGCATCACATCTCACCTAAACCGAACCTTGTAAAGCTTTTAAATGAGCAAACAAAAACATGTTCTCTCTTACCTCTCCCGGATTAAAAACAACGGAAAAAACCGGACATTTGGCATCTCTGTAACATGGGAGGCATCGTGGTGAAATCGGGCGCTCCTCAAAATATATGAAACTGAAAAAATTGGCACTTCTCTGTCCATTTGGCAATTTTTATCGAATTTTTGTTTTTTGACTCGACACCTTTACGGCCCATTTAAAAACACATTTCAGGGTGGATTTCACTGAAAAATTTTGATTTAAGGCACAAAAATGTAAATTTGCAGTTTCTACGGACTCTCAAGCTTCGGAAGTCGCCAAACTTTGGCGGCCATTTTCTCGCTAGTTTTACCTCTGCAACCAGGCGACCCCCACACAAATATCTCGACTTCTATTTATGATAGATGAGTATTTTTTTCAGCGACGGCAAATCAAAAGGACAACCTTAAAGATGATAGCAACAAATCCACATTTCGAAAAATTGATGGGCGCCGATTCCACTGCATCATAATAATAAATAATAAAGGATTGCATTTATATAGCGCATATCCACTTATGCAATGCTCTATGCGCTTAACATGATACATATTATGGATTTACAAATCAATTTTAAAGGTACATAATGTTACATACTCGTGCAAACACATATTCACTCACCCACGCACCACACACACATAGATACACACATACACACATATGCACA